GTCTGCAACAACACATGTTTGTCGTAAAAGGCGACAAACCGAATCAGGTGGTGACTTGGTTGGCGCATGTCATCGTATCCCAATTGCATAGATTGATGCTCATGTTGTTGATCACTGGATTGTCTGGTCCAGACTTGAATATTGAGAGACCGTCGCCATGTAGCTGGAGTATTGCTGAGTGCGGTGTTAAACAACCAACCAGCCTTAGGTCCGTTTAAATGTGATCCAGTATCTTGAATGTGCATCCTGTCCAAAGCTATCTCACTGGATGTTTCTAAGGTATCTCGTGTCAGAACCTTGTAAGCTATTACAAAATTCTCACTGTCGTGTGTAAACTTATTGTAATAGCCTACCTGTGATCTTTGTTTTTATTGTTTCATTCCGTACTCAGCATTGTCGATATATTCGAACCCCGTCATGTTCAAAGGAACCAGCAATCGATGGAAGAACCAACTAAACTCATATAGAATTCATACTTTTGTGTATAGGTTTATTTGGGTTGGGTTGTGCTGCACTCAGCAAGTCAAAATACACCCCAAAAATACATATTTTGATCTTAATACACAGTAGATACACATTTTGTTCCGGTCACTATTCGGCATACCAAACAAGAGGAAAATGAGATGCCTCTGTCAGGAACTGTGTGCTAATTGGTTGATGTCCTGGCGTCATTCATTGTATAATCTGGAAGCTAATCGATCAGCCAGAATAATTTCAAACAGAACGTAAGTGAGAGACTGAGTTAAAATTGTACAGATTATTTCAACCACATTGCAACAACACCATGCCCTCGCACAATCACAGGTCTATTCTATTAACAAAGATTAAATGAATTTCACTAACTTTCTTCATTGTAATAATATTTACAATCTGGCTTTTTTACATAACACTAAGAGCTCCGTGGAAAAGTTGAAAAATGCAACAGACATGTTACAATGTTTGTTATATTAATGTTGAATCACAGTGAACTTTCAAGGAAGAAATAAACTGATCTGTATCATACGTCACATCGGCATTATTTCAGTGACGAAAACAAGTCTGCATTAATAAACATTGTAAGTACAGAGTCAAAATGAGTTTTATTTCAAAAACACATATTCATTACATTGTCATTTAAAGACAGAAAAAGGCATAGCACTAAATTTAAAAGCAGGCAATTTCTTAGTTACATTACACAGTTACAATTTATGATACAGATCAACTTCCCTCAGGTAGTTCACTATCAGATGAGCGCTAACGCGGGAGAACAGATCTGCAGGCAATTTGTTAGTCACACAGTCAAGCAGAATATGCTTGATGTTGAAAACCTCATCGCAAGAGATACACATTGGGGTCCATCCCCATCCGTTTTCAGCAGATATTCATGTGTAAACCGACTGTGGCCAATACGACATGGTCGTAAAATTACTTCATCAAGTCTTGACTTACAACCCAAGTAGGTATAACCAATTGTTGGCTTCAGTTCATACAGTTGATTTCTTCCTACTTGGGTGTCCCACCTCTTTTGCATGAGGTCCCGAGTATAGCTTTTGATAGTGGGTTTGAAATCACTGTACGGGATCAGCAGTGGAGATACGGGCTTGTCAAGAGCTGCTTTAGCTGCAGCATCGGCTTTTGTGTTACCTGCGATGCCGGCAACCAGCAGAGGACGATGTCATATTGGCCAGTAGAAAGGTCGTTATAAAGTTCTAATATGTCCAGGATGATTGGGTGACTTGAAGTAACATTTTGAAGTGCTTGAAGGCAAGATAATGAGTATGTAAAAACGATGAAGTTTTGGGAATGATTCTGCTGTTTAATGTAGGTCAAAGCTGAGAAGATAGCTCTGGCCTCGGAAGTAAAACTTGAACTGTTGTCGGGAATTCAAGAGCAGACAGTCTTGTATTCAATGACTGTAGCACTGGCAACTTGGCCATCATCCTTTGACCTCTCTGCGAAAATGGATATATGGGTGTCATACTTGGAACGTAACTGGTTGTATTCCTGTTGGAACACCAAAGGATTTGTTTCGGACTTTTTGAGTTTAGTGAGGGTAAGGTCGACCTGTGGTTTCACCATCTGCCAGGGTGGCGAAGACAGGAGTCGGTAAGGTGCTATGATATTGAGATTAATTTTAGCTGCAGATATGTGTGGTTGAATTCGGATTCCAAGTTGTGGAACCAGGTTTGGCAGGATCCAGACCTGTCTTTAGATAGTACTCCCAGCAAGGTAGTAAAAGAGGCCAAATTCCTGGGACTCATATTCGACCGTCACCTGACATTCTTACCACACATAAAACATTTAGAAAACCAAGTGCTTGAAGGCTCTGGACTTACTAAAGGTCGTTTCAAATTCACTCTAAACTAGACTACGGCTCCATTGTCTATGGTGGAGCATGCAAAAGGAATTTAGAAAAATTAGATTCTATCCACCACCAAGGCCTAAGGCTCTGCCTGGGAGCTTTTAGGACCTCTCCGGTAGACAGTCTATATGCAGAGGCTAACGAACCTTCCCTTGAACAACGCTGCATTAAACTTTCACTGCAGTATATCATTAAATTACGTTTAAATCAGTCCAATCAAGCATACAATTGTGTTTTCAACCCTCTCTATGAAAACCTGTTTTCTAATATGGCAAGCCTGGTTCCACTTCTTATCTGCAGCTAACACTGATCTCAATATCATACCACCTTGCCAGCTTCTGGCAGATGGTGAATCCACAGGTGCATCTTACTCTGACGAAACTCAAAAAGTCCGATACAAATCCTTTGATGTTCGTACAAGAATAGAAACCAGTTACGTTCCAAGTATAACACCATTAGATCCATTTGTACAGACGATCCAAGGACGATGGCCAAGTTGCCTCCAAGTCCTCCAGAATCCTAAGCAATAGCTTCATTTTCACTGCTGAGGCCAACGCTATCTTGCCTACAGGCACCTAAAAATGTTACTTCAAGTCACCCTGTCATCCTGGACATTTTAGAACTTTACAACGATATTTCTACAGGCCAATGTGACATCGTCCTCTGCTGGTTGCCGTGTCACGTCGGCATAGCAGGTAACCCAGCTAAAGCTAAAACAGCTCTTGACAAGCCATCGTCCAATATATACTAGAACATATTTTTAAAATGTGTATCGTCTCGTCACTATATGGCTGGAATAATGCCGATGTGACGTTAAACCGAACTTAACTCCTCAACTTATCAAGTAAAAATTTTGTAAAGCATATTTCTTGCACAGGGCAACTATTGTCATATTCAGTTGGCTGTGGTATGTCTCCAACTGAACTGCAGGCACAATATATTTGTTTCGTTTCCAAATACTTCTGGTTGGTGAACCTGACATTCACATGTTCCCCCAAAAACAAGACAAAAATAGAACAGAACTAGGACCCAAAAAACGCTCCCCTACTTCACCCTTGAAGAGCAGCCTCCTCGTGGTGGGTGCTGGGTAACGCTAATGGCTCTTCGCCCCCCGCGTGGACCCGGGGTTGAATAGGTCCACAGCACCCCGTTGCAGCACCCCATTGCATCCCTGTGTCGGCAGAGGAAGGCAATCTGGTGGTTGAGGATGACGGAACCGGCCATAGCTTTCTTTAATCCAACATGACACTTCGCCCTAACTTTGCCTAGACGGGTGATAGAATAGGCCCGATTCTACCAATCGGCTGGTCACGCCATGCCCTGTGCATGAAATATACTATACAAAAGGTTGATATTGTAAAATGCCCTTCGGCATGTTCAAAATGTAAATTTCTTTCAAAATGCAAATCGGTTTAAATCCCTATGCACTGAAGGCGGTGGCTCATGGGCCAATCTGGTGATGCTGACCTCCCGATTCCTGTACGTCTCCAATTGATTGTCACGGGCCGAACCATCCTGACCTTTGATCTGGTAGACAGCTACAGCTTTTCGTGTCAACCTTGCTAGAGTATAACACCCCCTTATCCCCGGTCTTTGCAGCTTGGAGATCCGCTGCAATATAAGATCGTCCCTGTTGACACTCCATGGCTGGTGGGGAGAGGGGGTGCAGAAACATAATCCTAACGACATGGCTTCCCAACGCCCTGGTTCAAAACAAAGACACATGGATTCCGACAACTCCTCGTCTGACAAGAGTACGCCCTTCCGACCTGACTACTGGCCACGCTCATACCCATCACTCATACCCATTTCTGTTTTCCTCGATGTGGGATTGGACTATAAAATGCCAATGAAACTTTGATCCAATCATATCAAAAGTGCCTTACTGCATAGCCACCAACAGTACTTTAATCTATTTCTACTAAATGTCCTACCCATCGAGGTACTACAGTACTGATCTGGAATCTTTCAACGATGGTTCTTTTGTCTGGAATCTCTGGTCCAGCTCCGTGCAGATCGCCATTGCGAGAAATAGTAAAAACTACGATTTGACTAATTTTAGTTCTATATAATCTTATTTTCGTTTTCGCATTTCTACGGATATATTAGGCAAGTAGCAGATACCATTAAACACTTGGTTATTCCTCAGCTCAATGCAATTGTATGTAAATCCGTGTCCGTCTCTGTAAATCCGTCTCAACGTTGCTTAGGAATCCCGTCACGTGATTGACACGATCATGGCTGAGAGGCGTCGGTATTCTAGATAATATGCCAATAATGATACAGTTACCAGTACAGGTAAGGTATTAAATTTAAGCAATACGCAAAATTCAACACAAAAGTAATTGAAATCATGTTAATGAAAATCACCAATTTGTCCCATGCTTATAATTTTAATTTTGAATCAGGCTGCTGAAAATCAAAATCAAAATGCACTGTCTCAAAAAAATATAAATATTAGAAGGTGTTTACATTTGGACTTATGATTTGAAACAATATCACGTGTTTTATATGTTTTGGCTATAAAATTGGCTAAGCGACACACATGATCACAGATAGTTTTGAAATCAGGTCCTAAATAGACACAAGGTGTCCGAAATAGTCCAAAGTTCTTTTCAGCGATTTCACTGGGTCTGTCTGAAGGTTATCTATGGCACTATGACAAACACTGAAGTCACCGTGTTGCACCGCGCAGATCGCAAGTACAACATATGTTGCTTTCACAGATCAACAGAGATATAAACTGCGTGCTAACTCACAGAGAATCTAAGGTCGGTTTCAGTCATGTAAGTAGACGATTTGTATGTGATATTAAGCTTCTGGTTGCAACAATCGTGACACTGACTTTGATATTGGACATTTAAATATATGGTTCTCTAATTTCAAATATATTTTATCTTTCTGTTGTAGTATGTACTGACCATGATTCCTGATGTAAACTAAATATGTGTGCATTAATTCCTTTGTCATGAAGGATAGGGTTCACGTGTTAAGTACGGTCTTTAGAAACCTGCATTCATTCTTTTTGCGGACATTAACTCTACGGTGAGAGTGTGAGTTTAGGTGTACGCCGCACTCAGCAATATTCCAGTTATATGACAGCAGTCTGTAAATATGCCTGTACCAGACAATCCAGTGATCAACAGCATGGGTATCGATCCATGCCACTGGGATAGGTTGACGACTGTCAACCAAATCAGCGATCCTGACCTCCCGATCCCGTTAGCATGGGTTACTGAAGATCAACTCTTACCCGGATCGTCAGGGGGTAACTTTACAGACTTGACTGAAACCGCATCACCGTGGGGACACTGGCATGAACCCATGTTGACTACCGGAAGGAATCGGTTGGTGACTCCAGGGTCAACCTACCTGACGTCATGCACTATTTCCCATACTATGAATCACACGATTGTTTGGTCCAGACTGAACTATTAACAGGCCTCCTCCACACACATGGAATATTACCGAAAGTTGCGTAACAAAATACAGACCTGATGGTCGGTTCACTGGGTGACTATTTTTTTAGCAATATTCCAGCAATATCAAATTGGGGACACCGGAATTAGCCTCACACATTGTACCCACGTGGGAAATCGAACCCGGGTCTTCGAGCAACAGCTTTAACCACAGGGCTACCCTACCATGTCAGTCAGTTCAGTGTTTTCAGTTGAATTTGTCAGAAAAAAAATTAGTGTGATCTCTGAGGGCTTCTTGAAATCGTATTTTATAATCGTTTGTTTCCCAGTGATTGAGTTTGTATTTTACAGCCTATTCACGATGAAGGGTGCAGCTGTCTTCGCGTTGTTGACGCTTGTGTCCTCTATCCATGGAAACGCCTTTACGGACTTCTTCAAGAATGTTGGTAACAAGCTCGGCTCGTTCTTCACCACTGTCGGCCATTCCCTGCTACACCAGTTGGACACAACCGGAGTGGATCTCCTCAACGCAGGCGTATCAGCGGGCAAACAGTTATTATCACAGGGCCTTCAGGGTGAGACTGTATGACAAAATAATCACTTCACATGAGCACAAACACTCCGTGGTAGAACAGACGCTCCTCACAGTACAATCAGTGAACAAATCTCCACACGACAGAACAAACACTCCACTCCGTACAATCAGTGAACAAATCACCACACGACAGAACAAACACTTCAGGATAGAACAAACACTCCACTCCGTACAATCAGTGAACACTCACCACACAACAGAACAATCACTCCACGACACAACTGTGCGTCAGCAACCAAACGATAAGTCTGTGACAGAACAATGACTCCACGAAAGAACTTTTACTCAACAACATAAGTCGCTTCAAGACAGGACAATTCACAATAATTCCACAACTGAACAAACGCTCCACGCCGTACAATCACTCCACAACTGAACAAACGCTCCACACCGTACAATCACTCCATAACTGAACAAACGCCCCACACCGTACAATCACTCCACAACTGAACAAACGCTCCACACCGTACAATCACTCCACAACTGAACAAACGCTCCACACCGTACAGTCACTCCACAACTGAACAAACGCTCCACACCGTACAATCACTTCATAACTGAACAAACGCTCCGCACCGTACAATCACTCCACAACTTAACAAACGCTCCACACCGTACAATCACTCCATAACTGAACAAACGCTCCACACCGTACAATCACTCCACAACTGAACAAACGCTCCACACCGTACAATCACTCCACAACTGAACAAACGCTCCACACGGAACAACCACTCCACAAATGAACAATGACCACAGGACAATCACTTCAGGACAAAAACTGTGCCTCAGCAACGAAATAATATTAAAATAATTTGCATATTGAGACACAAGCTGAAAATAGAAGTACTCCACTTTACAGCAGTTGGGAACAACCAGTGGATATCCTGTGGGCAGACAATTGTTGGGGACACAATATTTCGCTCAGTTACTGAAAAACACTTTCCTTATTTCAAATAGAATTACCCGTTAATTTCCGGGTTAGAATTGGTCTTCAGTAACCTATGCTTGTCGTAAGGGGCGATAAACAGAATCGGATGGTTAGGCTGGTTGACACATGTAACCTCATCCCAATTACGAAGATAGATTTACTTGTTGTTGATCACTGACCTGTCACTTGACCGCCGCCATACAGCTGGAATATTTCCGTGTGCGGCAGTAAACAGTGAGTGAGTTAAAATTTAATGTCAGTTTGGCAATATTTCAGCCATATCGTGACCAGAGCAGTTAATACTTTAGAATTAAAAATCCGTCACCAAAGGACAGTAAAACAACTAGTATATCACAGTAAGAGATTTAAAACTAGTATGTAACTTAAAATTAGATACTATGTAGGACATTACAACATTAAAATGGGTTATAGATCGCCAGCCACTGAAGGTAGGTAACCATACCAGGGACCATGGGGACTTATAGTACCTTTGGGCAGTAAACAGCAGCAGGTACCAACCATGGGGCAGTAAACAGGTACCAGGGACCATGGGGACTTACAGTACCTTTGGGCAGTAAACAGCAGACCATACCAGGGACCACGGGGACTTACAGTACCTTTGGGTAGTAAACAGCAGTAGGTCATCATACCAGGGACCATGGGGACTTACATTACCTTTGGGTAGTAAACAGCAGTAGGTCATCATACCAGGGACCATGGGGACTTACAGTACCTTTGGGTAGTAAACAGCAGTAGGTCATCATACCAGGGACCATGGGGACTTACAGTACCTTTGGGCAGTAAACAGCAGTAGGTCACCATACCAGGGACCATGGGGACTTACAGTACCTTTGGGTAGTAAACAGCAGTAGGCCATCATACCAGGGACCATGGGGACTTACAGTACCTTTGGGTAGTAAACAGCAGTAGGTCATCATACCAGGGACCATGGGGACTTACAGTACCTTTGGGTAGTAAACAGCAGTAGGTCATCATACCAGGGACCATGGGGACTTACAGTACCTTTGGGCAGTAAACAGCAGTAGGTCACCATACCAGGGACCATGGGGACTTACAGTACCTTTGGGTAGTAAACAGCAGTAGGCCATCATACCAGGGACCATGGGGACTTACAGTACCTTTTGGTAGTAAACAGCAGTAGGTCACCATACCAGGGACCATGGGGATTTACAGTACCTTTGGGTAGTAAACAGCAAACAATCAAACATAAGAAGCACACGCTCATCACCACATCGTCTCGGAATACGGATTGTTTACACAGATCCTCAACTCTGCGACTACTTACATCTACTTACGTACAGGTCGTACGTCTCTTTGGAAAGCGCAGTATACTTGGCGTGGCGTTTTATGATTAATGCTAACGTTAGTTTTCGATCTTTTCAGCTTTAGCTCTGAACACTGTAAACGCACTCCACGACAGAAATAACACTAAGCGAGACTTAAGGTAAGTGTATGTTCTAGAGTGCACAAACTCAGTTTCTTGTTATAATTTCTTTATTCTTGTGATTTTCTTTTTTTATTATTGCATTCCTTCTTCATTCTTAACCTTGCATCCTTACAGTTCAGTTTCATTTTCACTGTTACAGATTCAGATTGACTGAAAAAGCATAACAAAATTCTTAATTACTAACATGAGCAATAATAGTAACTTATAGTATATCATATACACAAAAAAAACCAAAAGCGTTTATATCCAGTCACATGAGAACATAGCCTGAAACAGCCTTAGACAATGAATGATAATGCCTACAACTGCCTTATGCAATTAGGAAAAAGAACATAATTGCCTTATGCAATGAAATATTGTAAATAAAATATCAATGGCCTTATGCCAAAGCTATTTGGAAAAATGTCTTCAACTTATAAACAAAGAAAAGCCCAAAATAAAATGTATTTCTTAGAAAATAAATTGATGCAAATATTTAGGGCATTTACGGTAGTTCTTACAAAAAAGGCAAAACAAAGTTTCCTTCACTGAAAATATTCACACCAAATATAACTAGCACTACCACTACATTACAGTTGAAATTACACAAACATAATTTGTAAGTTTGCGGTAATTGCCTATAAATTGTTATGAAAAATAGCATAAACAATGCTAACACATGTCCAGTTCAAATACAAAATGAAAGCTAAAATGAATGAAGTTTACTTCTAACTTTCCCTACTTTTATGAAAGATTAACAAAGAAAACATTGGTGATAAAATAGTTACCGTTTGTTTGCGGTGGCATTTTCAACTTGTCTCATCGAAACTTGTCGTGCTAATGACCATGTGCGCTGCCAGATTTGAAAAGTCCGTGCTCAAGGCAGGTTACTCCAAACTCAAAGGTTAAAATGCATACCGCTAAAGAAAAAAGCACTAACACAACTGTTAATGTAAAAGTAATGTGATTTTGGCCGTTACAGTAAGTAAACAGCAGCGCACGATACATGTCCGAGTAATGTATAAAGGCGATGTGGGCCCCGTTCCTCAAAGCGATCGTAGCGCTAAGATGATCGTAACTCCCATACTTTAACCAAATTGAGTTAAACGCTACTTTGAGACCCGTGAAGAACAACTGATCTTCAGAAAACCAGGGGCAACTAACAGTAGCAGGTGGTCAAGCATGCTTGATGTCTTTGCATCAAAATTGCATAGATCAATGCTCATGATATTGGTCACTTGATTGTCTGGTCCCGACTCGATTATTTGCAGCCGGCGCCATATAGCTTGGATTTGCCTGAGTGTGGCGTGAAATAAATAAATGAAAAAATAAGGCTGAACAATATTCCTCCTATATGATATAAAAATAATTCAATTACAGCTCAACGTTCCAACGTCTCGAGGCGGACCTCCACGGGGTTCTCGACAAGGCAGGAGATGATCTGAAACAAGTGATTACATGGGCTGAAGGCCAAGTCAGTAATATTCTTGTACAGGGTGCTAAAGGAAACATTACTCCGGACGAGGCCCTAGCAAAACTGAAGAGTATTGTTGGTAAGGATGCAGCTATGTCATCAACTTCTACACCGTAGGTACCGGGGAGACCCGTGAAGATCCGGGTTAGAATTAGACTTCGGCAACCCATGCTTGTCGTAAGAGGCGACTAACGGGATCGGGTGGTTGGGCACGTATCCCAATTGCATAGGTCGATGCGCACTATGTTGATCACTGCATTGTATGCAAATTATGAAACATTGTAGAAATTTAATCCAGTTCAACAGCAACATGAATGAGTTCCGAACAGTCAATTCCATATCCAGGTGAGATATAGTTCCTAAGCGTTATTTGTCTTACATTGATAGGTGTGCACAGTTCGGTGACAGACTCCTTTAAGAAGCTGGTTCTGGAAGGACTGGAAAGGTTGACAAGCTCCATGACGAAGGACGACCAGAACCTTTTGTCTGGACCCTTCAGGGCCCACCTGGAGTCTCTCGCTCGTAACATTACTGAGGTAAGGTCCCATGGACGTCACCTGTGAGGATCCCGGTTGTTACTGGTCTACAGACAACCATGCTTGTCACCTGTGAGGATCTGGGTTGGGATTAGTTTTCAGGACCCCATGCTTGTCGTAAGAGGCGAGTGACGGGATCGAGTGGTCAGGGTCGATGGTTCGGTGGACACAACCATGTCATTGTATTCTAGTTGCGTAGATCGATGACGTTCCGAGCAGTTGATTCCGTATCCAGGACTGGTGTGATATAGTTGGTCAGGCTCGCTGACTTGGTTGACACATGTCATCGTATCCCAACTGATCGATGTTCATGCTGTTAATCCCTGGATTGCCTGGTCCAGACTTGATTATTTACAAGCGCTGCCATATACCTGGAATATTGCTGAGTGCGGCATTAAACGTAAAACAAACCAACGGTAGTGTGAAACATCTGCATAGCTAAACGCCTTTATTTTGTTTAATATTGTTAAATCCAACCTGTGATTGGTGTTATTTTAGAATGTTGAACAAAGATGGCCATTACTGCGTACACATTTGATTTCACATGTAAAAGATCACAAATGGTTATATTACCAAGTTGAAAATACGGAAATGTAGTCGGGTTCACTATATCTTTTTCGACCCCATTCTATATTAGTGTCGCAATGGTCATGGAAAGGTGACAGGTGTGTCAACTGAGTACCATGTCAGGATGCCCCAGGTCAAAATATTAATTTGAATTTGAATTAAACATTCCTTCGTCTTCAAAAAAATGTGACAATTGTTGATGATAATTGTTAATCATCTTCATCATATATCCTCTCCCATCAGCAACTGATCCTTAATGGGTTTAATAAAAACGCCGTTAATATATTTTTTTTCAGCATATGATGAACTTGATGAAGTTCTTCGAGCAGAAGCGAATCAAACAGTAATGTATGATGTTGATATCTTAGCACACAATAAATCCATGTTATGAAGATTTGGATGTAGTGACAATTTTTGGAGTTTTTTTAGTTAAGAAAAAACAGTAATCAAACAGTATATTTTGTGATGTATCAGTAAGGGGACGTCGTGTCAGAATGTGTGACAACATTGCGGTCTTTTCGGCCACGACGTAGCATACACATGTTGGTTCACATGACCTGAGAGACCTGGTCATAGCGGCGCTAGCACCTTTATCTTACACGATAGTTTCTTTGTAAACGTCCCAACAATGTAATCTTGGCACAGTTATGGTAAACCTGGTGAGTGTAATCATACAAGGATATACATAATGTACATACATACACGTAACAAATGCTATCATACAAAATATGAATTATCTGCTGTATAATTTATAACACCCAACCGACCCTGGTCACACAGAATGGACTGGTCTGTGATGTGACCTTTAGTATAAATACAACAGAGGCAACCACAGAACTGGTTCAAGCTGACTGGACGGAGAAGGTAACATGTATTTGTCTGTTTTATTTTAGTGTCTCACTCTGCCACCGTTATTTCCGGGTTTACTGTTATCATTGACAAAACCATCATTGACACGCCCATGCCCGCACAACATATCAGCTTGCTTGAACAAACCGTAGCAAGTCTCAAGAGCACAACATCAGACCTGACATCAGAGTAAGATGTAACCAAGAAGAACCTCAAGGCGACTCAATCCGAGCTGCAAGTCACAAATAGTGATCTACAGACCACTCACAGAGTTTCAGTTGAGCAAAGCGGCACACAATAACAGTATGTATGATCTGCTAGCGTTGAGTGAGTTTAGTTTACGCCGCACTCAGCAATATTCAAGCTATAGGGAGGCGGTCTGTAAATATTTCAGTCTGGACCAGACAATCCATTAATCAACAGCATGAGCATTGATCTGCGCAATTGGGAACCGATGACATGTCAAACAAGCCAGCGAGCCTGACCACCCGATCCCACGACAAACATGGGTTACTGAAGGTTCATTCTAACCCAGACCTTCACGGATTTGCTAGTGTTGAACTTTGAAATATGATTGGCTGGTTGGTTTGTTGTTTAACGCCACGCTCGGCAATATTTCAGATATATGGGGAACATCCGGGTTACAACTGGTCTTCAGCAGCACGTGCATGACGTACGAGGAAACTAAGGGGTTCGGGCTTGCTGTCTTGGTTGAGTCATGCCATCCCAATTGCGAAGATCGGTGCTCGTGATGTTGATCACAGGATTGTCTGGCCCTTACTCGATTATTTACAGACTGCCGCCATATAGCTGGAATATTGCTAAGTGCGGCGTAAAACTGAATTCACTCACTCACTCACTATCTATTTTGATTTGTCCGAATAACAAAAGGTATTAGCGCCACACATAAATGACTCGGTATGAAGCCAAGCAAAGTTATCCCAATTTCTTTGTGCTTTAATCACCTCACTTTCTTCTTTTGAGAACTTGGTGACCACTCGGTTTCTGCCACCAAGTAAATAGATTTGATAATTTTAATTATAACCCATAAGTTATACCACTGCAAAAAACATTGGTACAAATCTGTAAAATAGATGTTAACATTGGGAAGACTCCTAGGCCAAGTTGCTGGGTGGTTTTTTTCCATCATTATTGCTGAGTACGGCGTTAAGGACAAACTGCCAAAATATACCCAGTCTCAGACACCAAGAGGCGTGACAGTCTATTTCAGGCTATAATGTTTTGAACTTTGTTTTTAGTATGGCTCCTATGTTTTCATTCTAACAGCACCGGTGGCAAGAAATATTGCATTCCATGTATCAGCGCCGAATAGTGCCACGGCGGGAGTTCCATTTAAGTATTAGTGTTTAAATGATTTCTTTTTAACAACAACAACAACAACAACGAAACATTATTATTTACAAACAGAAAATGTCATAGCAATCTCCAGGGGCATCGCTGGTATCTGCGGAGAGGTTGCCAGTGTGACCAATCTCCAGGGGCATCGCTGGTATCTGGGGAGAGGTTGCCAGTGTGACCAATCTCCAGGGGCATCGCTGGTATCTGCGGAGAGGTTGCCAGTGTGACCAATCTCCAGGGGCATCGCTAGTATCTGGGGAGAGGTTGCCAGTGTGACCAATCTCCAGGGGTATCGCTGGTATCTGCGGAGAGGTTGCCAGTGTGACCAATCTCCAGGGGTATCGCTGGTATCTGCGTAGAGGTTGCCAGTGTGACCAATCTCGAGGGGCATCGCTGGTATCTGGGGAGAGGTTGGCAGTGTGACCGAGCTCCAGGGGTATCGCTGGTATCTGCGGAGAGGTTGCCAGTGTGACCAAGCTCCAGGGGTATCGCTGGTATCTGCGGAGAGGTTGCCAGTGTGACCAAACTCGAGGGGTATCGCTGGTATCTGCGGAGAGGTTGCCAGTGTGACCAAGCTCCAGGGGTATCGCTGGTATCTGCGGAGAGGTTGCCAGTGTGACCAATCTCCAGGAGTATCGCTGGTATCTGCGGAGAGGTTGCCAGTGTGACCAATCTCCAGGGGCATCGCTGATATCTGGGGAGAGGTTGCCAGTGTGACCAATCTCCAGGGTATCGCTGGTATCTGCGGAGAGGTTGGCAGTACGACCAAGCTCCAGGGTATCGCTGGTATCTGCGGAGAGGTTGCCAGTGTGACCGAGCTCCAGGGGTATCGCTGGTATCTGCGGAGAGGTTGCCAGTGTGACCAATCTCCAGGGGTATCGCTGGTATCTGGGGAGAGGTTGCCAGTGTGACCAATCTCCAGGGGTATCGCTGGTATCTACGGAGAGGTTGGCAGTGTGACCAAGCTCCAGGGGTATCGCTGGTATCTGCGGAGAGGTTGCCAGTGTGACCGAGCTCCAGGGATATCGCTGGTATCTGTGGAGAGGTTGCCAGTGTGACCAAACTCCAGGGGTATCGCTGGTATCTGCGGAGAGGTTGCCAGTGTGACCAATCTCCAGGGGTATCGCTGGTATCTGCGGAGAGGTTGCCAGTGTGACCAATCTCCAGGGGCATCGCTGATATCTGGGGAGAGGTTGCCAGTGTGACCAATCTCCAGGGGTATCGCTGGTATCTGCGGAGAGGTTGGCAGTGTGACCAAGCTCCAGGGGTATCGCTGGTATCTGCGGAGAGGTTGCCAGTGTGACCGAGCTCCAGGGGTATCGCTGGTATCTGCGGAGAGGTTGCCAGTGTGACCAATCTCCAGGGGCATCGCTGATATCTGGGGAGAGGTTGCCAGTGTGACCAATCTCCAGGGGGTATCGCTGGTATCTGCGGAGAGGTTGGCAGTGTGACCAAGCTCCAGGGGGTATCGCTGGTATCTGCGGAGAGGTTGCCAGTGTGACCAAGCTCCAGGGTATCGCTGGTATCTGCGGAGAGGTTGCCAGTGTGACCAATCTCCAGGGGTATCGCTGGTATCTGCGGAGAGAGGTTGCCAGTGTGACCAATCTCGAGGGGTATCGCTGGTATCTGCGGAGAGGTTGCCAGTGTGACCAAGCTCCAGGGGTATCGCTGGTATCTGCGGAGAGGTTGCCAGTGTGACCAATCTCCAGGGGTATCGCTGGTATCTGCGGAGAGGTTGCCAGTGTGACCAAGCTCCAGGGGTATCGCTGGTATCTGCGTAGAGGTTGCCAGTGTGACCAATCTCCAGGGGTATCGCTGGTATCTGTGGAGAGGTTGCCAGTGTGACCAAGCTCCAGGGGTATCGCTGGTATCCGTGGAGAGGTTGCCAGTGTGACCAAGCTCCAGGGGTATCGCTGGTATCTGGGGAGAGGTTGCCAGTGTGACCAAGCTCCAGGGGTATCGCTGGTATCTGCGAAGAGGTTGCCAGTGTGACCAATCTCCAGGGGTATCGCTGGTATCTGCGGAGAGGTTGCCAGTGTGACCAATCTCGAGGGGTATCGCTGGTATCTGCGGAGAGGTTGCCAGTGTGACCAATCTCCAGGAGTATCGCTGGTATCTGCGGAGAGGTTGCCAGTGTGACCAATCTCCAGGGGCATCGCTGATATCTGGGGAGAGGTTGCCAGTGTGACCAATCTCCAGCGGTATGGCTGGTATCTGCGGAGAGGTTGCCAGTGTGACCAAGCTCCAGGGGTATCGCTGGTATCTGCGGAGAGGTTGGCAGTGTGACCAAGCTCCAGGGGTATCGCTGGTATCTGCGGAGAGGTTGCCAGTGTGACCGAGCTCCAGGGGTATCGCTGGTATCTGCGGAGAGGTTGCCAGTGTGACTAATCTCCAGGGGCATCGCTGGTATCTCGGGAGAGGTTGCCAGTGTGACGAATCTCCAGGGGTATCGCTGGTATCTACGGAGAGGTTGGCAGTGTGACCAAGCTCCAGGGGTATCGCTGGTATCTGTGGAGAGGTTGCCTGTGTGACCAAGCTCCAGGGGTATCGCTGGTATCTGCGGAGAGGTTGCCAGTGTGACCAATCTCCAGGGGCATCGCTGGTATCTGCGGAGAGGTTGGCAGTGTGACCAATCTCGAGGGGTATCGCTGGTATCTGCGGAGAGGTTGGCAGTGTGACCAAGCTCCAGGGGTATCGCTGGTATCTGCGGAGCGGTTGCCAGTGTGACCAATCTCCAGGGGTATCGCTGGTATCTGGGGAGAGGTTGCCAGTGTGACCAATCTCCAGGGTATCGCTGGTATCTGCGGAGAGGTTGCCAGTGTGACCAATCTCGAGGGGTATCGCTGGTATCTGCGGAGAGGTTGCCAGTGTGACCAAGCTCCAGGGGTATCGCTGGTATCTGCGGAGAGGTTGCCAGTGTGACCAATCTCCAGGGGTATCGCTGGTATCTGCGGAGAGGTTGCCAGTGTGACCAAGCTCCAGGGGTATCGCTGGTATCTGCGTAGAGGCTGCCAGTGTGACCAATCTCCAGGGGTATCGCTGGTATCTGTGGAGAGGTTGCCAGTGTGACCAAGCTCCAGGGGTATCGCTGGTATCTGTGGAGAGGTTGCCAGTGTGACCAAGCTCCAGGGGTATCGCTGGTATCTGGGGAGAGGTTGCCAGTGTGACCAAGCTCCAGGGGTATCG